GTGAAGACATCACAACTATGAAATAAGACATTGAATCATGTAGTAACCAAAAAAGTGTTAAACAAATTCTTCCAAGTAGCTACCCTTTGCCTTGATGACAGCTTTGCACACTCTTGGCATTGTCTCAACCAGCTTCATGAGGAACACTTTTCCAACAGTCTTGAAGGAGTTCCCACATATGCTGAGCACTTGTTGGCTGCTTTTCCTAAAGTCTGCGGTCCAACTCATCCCAAACCATCTCAATTGGGTTGAGGTCAGGTGATTGTGGAGGCCAGGTCATCTGATGCAGCACTCCATCACTCTCCTTCTTGATCAAATAGGCCTTACACACCATGGAGGTGTGTTTTGGGTCATTGTCCTGTTGAAAACAAATGATAGTCCCACTAAGCGCAAACCAGATGGGATGGCCCAAGCAAGTCTCTTCTTATTATTGGTGTCCTTTAGTAGTGGTTTCTTTGCAGCTATTTGACCATGAACATTCAAATTTCTTGACATTTTCCGGATTGACTGACCTTCATGTCTTAAAGTAATGATGAACTGTAGTTTCTCTTTGCTTATTTGAGCTTGCCATAATATGGACTTGGTCTTTTACCAAATAGGGCTCTCTTCTGTATACCACCCCTACCTTGTCACAACACAACTGATTGGCTCAAACGTATTAAGAAGGAAAGCGGTACCGCACGGCAAGCGGTACCGGAGTGCCAAGTCTAGGTCCAAAAGACTTCTCAACAGCTTCTACCCCCAAGCCATAAGACTCCTGAACAGCTAATCATGGCTACCCGGAATATTTGCACTGCCCCCCCACCCCATCCTTTTTACGCTGCTGCTACTCTGTTAAGTATTTATGCATAGTCACTTTAACTCTACCCACATGTACATATTACCTCAACTACCTCAACTAGCCGGTGCCCCCGCACATTGACTATGCAACGATACCCCCCTGTATATATAGCCTCCCTACTGTCACTTTATTTTACTGTATATATAGCCTCCCTACTGTCACTTTATTTTACTTCTGCTCTTTTTTTCTCAACACTTTTTTGTTGTTGTTTTATTCTTACTTTTTTTGTTTAAAATAAATGCACTGTTGGTTAAGGGCTGTAAGTAAGCATTTCACTGTAATGTCTGCACCTGTTGTATTCGGCGCATGTGACCAATAAAATTTGATTTGATTTGATTTGATTTGAAATTCCACAAATTAACTTTTAACAAGGCACACCTGTTAATTGAAATGTATTCCAGTTGAATACCTCATGAAGCTGGTTGAGAGAATGCCAAGAGTGTGCAAAGCTGTCATCAAGGCAAAGGGTGGCTACTTTGAAGAATCTCAAATATAAAGTATATTTTGATTTGTTTAACACGTTTTTGGTTACTACATGATCCCATATGTGTTATTTCATAGTTTCGATGTCTTCACTATTATTCTACGATGTAGAAAATAGAAAAAATAAAGAAAAACCCTGGAATGAGTAGGAGTGTCCAAACTTTTCACTGGTATTGTATATATATACACTACCGTTCAAAAGTTTGGGGTCACTTAGAAATGTCCTTGTTTTCGAAAGAAAAGCAAATTTTTTGTCCATTAAAATAACACCAATTGATCAAAAATACAGTGTAGACATTGTTAATGTTGTAAATGGCTATTGTAGCTGGATTTTTTATGGAATATCTACATAGGCGTACAGAGGCCCATTATCAGCAACCATCAGTCCTGTGTTCCAATGGCACGTTGTATTTGCTAATCCAAGTTTATCATTTTAAAAGGCTAATTGATCATTTGAAAACCCTTTTGCAATTATGTTAGCACAGCTGAAAACTGTTGTTCTGATTAAAGAAGCAATAAAACTGGCGTTCTTGAGACTAGTTCATTATCTGGAGCATCAGCAATTGTGGGTTCGATTACAGGCTCAAAATGGCCAGAAACAAATAACTTTCTTCTGAAACTCGTCAGTCTATTATTGTTCTGAGAAATGAAGGCTATCCATGCGAGAAATTGCCAAGAAACTGAAGATGTCGTACAACGCTGTACAGTCGTGGTCAAATGTTTTGAGAATGACACAAGTATTGGTCTTCACAAAGTTTGCTGCTTACATTTTAGTCATTTAGCAGACACTCTTATCCAAAGTGACGTACATGAGCAATTAGGGTTAAGTGCCTTGCTCAAGGGCACATCGACAGATTTTTCGCCTAGTCGGCTATGGCTCTGTGATTAGAACCAGCGACCTTTCAGTTACCGGCACAATGCTCTTAACCACTATGCTACCTGCTGCCCAGTGTTATGAGATATTTTTGTCAGATGTTACTATGGTCTACTGAAGTATAATTACAAGCATTCCATAAGTGTCAAAGGCTTTTATTGACAATTACATTACGTTTATGCAAAGAGTCAATATTTGCAGTATTGACCCTTCTTTTTCAAGACCTCTGCAATCCACCCTGGCATGCTGTCCATTAACTTCTGGGCCACATCCTGACTGATGGCAGCCCATTCTTGCATAATCAATGCTTGGAGTTTGTCAGAATTTGTTGGTGTTTGTTTTTCCACCCGCCTCTTGAGGATCGACCACAAGTTCTCAATGGGATTAAGGTCTGGGGAGTTTCCTGGCCATGGACCCAAGATTTCAATGTTTTGTTCCCAGAGTTATCACTTTTGCCTTATGGCAAGGAGCTCCATCATGCTGGAAAAGGCATTGGTCGTCACCAAACTGTTCTTGGGTGGTTGGGAGAAGTTGCTCTCTGAGGATGTGTTGGTATCATTCTTTATTGATGGCTGTGTTCTTAGGCAAAAATGTGAGTGAGCCCACTCCCTTGGCTGAGAAGCAACCCCACACATGAATGGTCTCAGGATGCTTTACTGTTGGCATGACACAGGACTGATGGTAGCGCTCACCTTGTCTTCTCCGGACAAGGTGTTTTCCGGATGCCCCAAACAATCGGAAAGGGGATTCATCAGAGAAAATGACTTTACCCCAGTCCTCAGCAGTTCAATCCCTGTACCTTTTGCAGAATATCAGCCTGTCCCTGATGTTTTTCCTGGAGAGTAGTGGCTTCTTTGCTGCCCTTCTTGACACCAGGCCATCCTCCAAAAGTCTTCACCTCACTGTGCGTGCAGATGCACTCACACCTGCCTGCTGCCATTCCTGAGCAAGCTCTGCACTGGTGGTGCCCCGACCCCGCAGCTGAATCAACTTTAGGAGACGGTCCTGGAGCTTGCTGGACTTTCTTGGGCGCCCTGACGCCTTCTTCACAACAATTGAACCTCTCTCCTTGAAGTTGTTGATGATCCGATAAATGGTTGATTTTAGGTGCAATCTTACTAGCAGCAATATCCTTGCCTGTTAAGCCCTTTTTGTGCAAAGCAATGATGACGGCACGTGTTTCCTTGCAGGTAACCATGGTTAACAGAGGAAGAACAATGATTTCAAGCACCACCCTCCTTTTAAAGCTTCCAGTCTATTATTCTAACTCAGTCAGCATGACAGAGTGATCTCCAGCCTTGTCCTCATCAACACTCTCACCTGTGTTAACGAGAGAATCACTGACATGATGGCAGCTGGTCCTTTTGTGGCAGGGCTGAAATGCAGTGGAAATGTTTTTTGGGGATTAAGTTCATTTTCATGGCAAAGAGGGACTTTGCAATTAATTGCAATTCATCTGATCACTCTTCATGACATTCTGGAGTATATGCAAATTGCCATCATCAAAACTGAGGCAGCAGACTTTGTGAAAATTAGGATTTGTGTCATTCTCAAAACTTTTGACCACGACTGTATACTACTCCCTTCACAGAACAGCGCAAACTGTCTCTAACCAGAATAGAAAGAGGAGTGGGAGGCCCCGGTGCACAGCTGAGCAAGAGGACAAATACATTAGAGTGTCTAGTTTGAGAAACAGACGCCTCACAGGTCCTCAACTGGCAGCTTCATTAAATAGTACCCGCAAAACACCAGTCTCAACGTCAACAGTGAAGAGGCGACTCCGGGTTGCTGACCTTCTATGCAGTTTGCCCCACAGGCAAATACATTGATCAGCATAACACTAGCAAGGAAGGAAATATCTAATGTTTTAGAACAGAAAGAACAGCATGAAGAAAGGAAAACAAGGAAAGAAAATGAATCTTTACTTGATGCATTTATTCAGCTTCAGTACCAACAGATGTAGGCCTTTAGGTCTGCTTGATATGAGGTTTTATCAGGGGACTGACTATTGTCCCATTGAGAATCTCCTGATCTGATTTGACAAAGATCAAGACATGATTACAACATAGTGTAGGAAACAGAGACATGATGTCAGTCCCAAGGGAACCTCTCCTCATAGTGCTCCAGTGAGCAATCCTTTCAGGGGTGGGGATTTGAGTTATCCTAATACACATTTACTGGATGTTTAGGCTACAGTAGGACTACCACATTAACAGCAAACTGAAATGGATGGAGAACACCAGCATCTTAACTTTAAGCTACAGTAGTCACCACTTAAAATTGGAATGGTTGTATGGCAACAAACGTGATCCAGATACTGAATAAATGTGCTTACTGTAAATTGATTGTGATTAACAAACATCATTCTTTATCATGCAATGTCATAATTTGTATTTATTTGAGATAGATTACAAACAGAGAGAGATGTAACACACTGTAAATCGTAATAACTGTATTCATAAATTCCTTACATTTCACTCAAAGTGCTAAACTCCAAATGCTACATGAAAGTGCAAATCAGCCTCTTGGTTGGTGAATAGAAAATGTAAACTAATTTGGATAACAGGGCATATAAGGAAACAAACAAAACTGGGCACACAAAAAGCAAGTTATTATTATGCTGTGAGATAGTGAGAGGTTAAATAGTTGTCCCTGTAGAGTAGATGTGCGGTGTGATTTTACAAGTAATTAAAGGTACACAAACGCCTCAAGGTATAGCAGTAAAAGATTCCAACATCACTTTTTGAATATCATATAAATATTTAAGTGTAAAGTGCAGTTATGAAGGCGGAAACTTTTTTTTTTAAATAGAAAAACACAAAAATACATTTAGGAGTGTAGCAATAACTGATTATAATGTGTGGATCACCACTCTAGCCGCATGTCAGCTTTGCTCCACACATATTTCCCTCCTCTCTTTAGGAACATCTTCTCGTCAAAGCCACTGAATTGAATGGCCTCTTCCACGCCAACATCAAGGATGGACTTGGATGGATCTTTCCTCCCCTCTCTGCAATCCAGGAAACGCATCTAAAAAAGCATATAAAAACGTCAAATTCATAAGCATTTAGAACATGTAGAATAATTTATAAAGTATTTTATAAGCATTTATAAAGGCTTAATCATGAAAGTTATTATAAAGTGTTACCAACGGGTAATATAAGAGCCTCTTGACAATCTAGTCCATTATCAAAATATCACTGCTATGAAACTTCATATCTAATACTAATAAATATAAAATATCTGCAAATCATCATCTCATTTCACCCTTCTCAAAGCCTGTGAATGTAGAGTGAGTATCATGTAAAATAACATATTGATAAAAAGGACTTACATATTCATCCAGGATGAGGTAGGAATCTCTCATCTGACAAGATAAGACAACAAGGAAACATGTTAATGTCACAACTATTTTGTATTACAATATTGTCAACAGAGAGTTCTACATGCAACCCAAAAGAAGGTTCTACCTGGAACCAAAAACTGTTCTACCTGGAACCAAAAAAGGTTATCCTATGGGGACAGCAGAAGAACCCTTTTGGAACCCTTTTTTCTAATAGTGTACTTTGAACCTTAATAGCATTCAGAAACAACTTAAATGGACTAGTAGTTGTTGAACCATCATAATATCAATAACTGACAACAAAAAAGTATAATATTGTGTTGTCTTCGTCTTTAGTCCAGTCCCATACCTTTTGATTGGACTCTGGTACCAGGCAGCTGATGCTGCTGTGCCTATCCAGGAAGTCCTGAAACTGCTGGTCGCTGATGACAAACCTCTCTGCCTCCCTCAGACTGTTCTCCCCAGCGTTCTCGCCATCGATCAGCAGACACTGGAACACCTATACAGCACACACAGTGAAGTCAAGGCCATACAACTCACTTACTACTATCTATGGTATGAGAAAACACCTCTATTTACAGATACAGTATTACTGGTGAGTAATGTTAATGCACTGGAACACCCTAACCTTCCAGCGTACAGGGTTGAGTCCGGTGATTTTTTCTCTCATGTCTTCATCCACATTGAAGGTGTTGATCACAGAGTTGACTTTGAACGCCACTTTGTACTTCTGGCACCACTCCCGGACCTTGAAGAGGTTGTCCAGGTGGCTCTTCCTGCCCTGGGCTCTGCCAATAGTGTGGTTGGTGTCCTCATCAAAGCTGTCACAGGAAATGGCCAGAATGTCCAGGTATTTGCCTGTGAGGACAAGGAGCATTTTGATAATAACACTGACATAATCTCAAAGAATTGTATTTTGAAACACCAATGAATTCTAAATGTATTCATATCCAGACATACATGTGATAGTTCCGATTTTTTTAGGTAAAAATATAAACTAGTCGTTTTTAAAAACAATTTGATGATCAACGTATGCCTTTTATGATGAGTCCTACATTTTTTAAGGAGTCAACTGCGAGGCATTTCAAATAAAACATGTGAAATGCTTCTCTGAGTTTTCATTTTGTGACCTCACATCAAAACTAACCCGGTGCTGACATCTAGTGTCAATAAAATGAACTTTGTTTCCTGACCGCATGAGAATAATGAGGATTGTTTATTAATTATGGGTGATCTCTGATATAATGACGATCACCGGGGTAACGTTGGTCGGCCTTAAAATATTTTCTTTTAACACAGAACCTAAAATGAAAACCATCTTACCATATGTGTGGAACCACTTCTCTCTAATCATGCTGCCATTGCTGACAATACTGACACTTGGAAGCTGGAGGTCGTGTTTGCAGTATTGGACTAATTTCCCCAAGAAATCACCTCTGTCGTGTATGAAAGGCTCTCCGCCAGAAAAGTTAATTTTTTCCAGTCCTGCAAAAATAATGAAATTCTGAATTCTAAACTCTGAATAAAATATTACATTAGAAACACATAGGCTTTAATACTAATGTAATAGCATATAATGTGAATTTAAATAGGGATTTGAAATAGCATAAATATAATCTTTGGCCAAATTTACCTGATTCCTTCAGAAGCTGTAAACCTCTCTTTGCTTCCTCAATGGGTAGGACAAAAGACGTTTTTGCAGTGTGGAAACAAAAACCGCACTTATAATTGCACTGTCGGGTAAAATGATAATTGACACTTCTTGGAGTTGCCGCAGCTTGAGATACTGTCTTTTGCACCACCTTGATTGTAGCTGGATTTACTTTTCCTGTAGATGATAACTGTGACGTGCCACGGATCCATGCCAGTACAGTTGCAAATATGCACTCGAGGTAATTTATGCCGAGCTGTAGGAACATCTTCACAACCACGACTTGAGTAGAGAGCAATATTACTAGTCTTCACCTGTCCTGTCCTGTTGAAACTTCTGATGCCAGGCTAACTTGACTCCGCAATAAATAAAGCGGCTCCAGGCGTTATAAATGTATCATCAAAACGTCATCATTTGAACACAAGGAAACCGAACATTCCAAAGTTGAATAGACCTCCCACAGGCCAAAAACGGGTTGAATCAACGTTGTTTCCACGTCATTTCAACCAAATAATTAAATGTGATGATGTTGAATCAACGTGGATAACTGATTGGAATTGCAAAAAGTAATCCAGGAAATGTATTTTTGGTTGTCGATTTCACATTGAATTCATGTTTGTTGACAACTCAACCAAATGTAGGCTAAATAAAAACTAGACGTTGACTATGAGTGGTGGTGCAATTAGGCTCAAATGGACATTACTGCAGCGCTCTAAAATCTTGAAAATAAAATATAAACAAGCCTTTATTCAAATTCAGTCCTATTACATGCCTACATGCGTACGTGCTTATTATAAAAAGCCTGCGCTTTGAATAGGCTGTCATACCATAATAGCGCCAAGCAAATTAGCTGACTCATTAGGTGAGGCCATGGGACAGGATGTAACAGCCATATAATGATAGGCACATTGTATCTCAGACTGGCAGGTGCACATTGCATCACTTTCGTTTCTGGTATAATGGCTCAAGTTTCGGTTTGCTTGTCAAGCGCGCGGTAAGTTTCGTTTCTCCCTCAGTTTCAAAAATCAGGCGTGCACATGAGTTGTGATTCAGCTAAATGCATTTAGTTAGGGGTTTGACTCAAGATGGCAAGACGCATATTGTCGCGGTTTGGCCATTGGTCTTCTTATGTGTTTGCAGTGGAGTTCGATACGAAATCTGACCCCATCTACTTCGCCCTAGAAGGCAAGCATAGCGAGGGGCCACAAGTGTTCAGAAATGTCCTCGCTGATGAAAGATGCTACTCGCTCCATGTCTACAGCGATGACATAATTGAAAGAGCAAAGTTTTATGGAGGACTGAAAAACAAACTATCCAAAGAGTTACCTTCAGAATGTACGCTTTTGGAAATGTCCACATTTCAGCCTAATGTCAAAGATTCTGTCATCAAAGGATATTTTCTAAAAGACTCATCTAAGTCCTCAGCGACTGAACGAGTATTGGGCGAGTTGCTTCGCAATGACCCAGTCTATGTATGCTCCTACTTGTGCGGGGGAGAAGACAGACAGTGGTCGCAACACCTGTGGTCCAATACAGAAGACGGTTGGGTGGTGGGATCGGAGAAATACTGCGTGGTACCTGCTGAAAAGCCAAAGCATCATCCTTCAACTCTCAACATCATCAACGATGACGTGTTCTACAGTTTTGAGGATGCCTACAAAGTTCTACAAAAGGTTTGAATAGTGACACCTTAATGTTTGAAATCAGTTGACACATGTTGCCTATGGAACGCAGTTTGGCTCTTTGCGTGTCAAAAAAGATACACATCAAATAAGCTTTTAATTTTACACGTCAAATAATGCAATTATATTATAGAATGTTGTGTGCTGAATTTGCATGTGCAAGCCAAGCACCACCACTAAGATCAGTAGCACTGTCAAAGCTGTACAAATAAGTCTGCAAACAAGCACACACCGGCCACCAACAATGTGTTTACAATAGCGCGTTGGTAATAATGCATTATTTGTTCGACCGAATGGGAAAACGTCTGTGTGAGCATTTGAAATAAGATCAGGATCAAACGAGCAGGGTCAAAAATGTTTGCAAATATCTTTGATACAGGTGTTATTAGCAACTTCTAGGGTAGCTAGCAAGCTTTAACTTGGTAACGTTACCTAGCTAGGACCAATGCAACTAACGTTAGCCAGAAAACAATGACCAATAGAAACTGCAGTAATTTTCAATATTCTTAGCAATGATTTAGGAATCCATGTGAGTAAGTATTAGCTAGGTAGCCACTTGAACCTGAACTTCAGTTCATGAAAATAATTAGCTAGCCAGCTACTTAATAACCCTGTTGCCCAAAGCTAACGTTATAAGCAGCCAGTAATTTGGCTGGTGAGGCTTGACCTGACCGGGTTATGTGTTGTGAAAATAACCACAATAAGGATTAGACACAATAGTGGAATTTGCGGTTTGCCTTCAAAATAAAAGTCCCTCTTTGAAAGTGACGCAGAAGGTTACACAATTGGGGAAATCATGCAACATTTAGACTAGATAATGTTAAACAAGGTTGGAATGTGGATCAATGAAATAGGCTATCAGTCTACTCATTGACACCCACAGAACACAACTGTGAAAAGTTTACGCAAATATTAGCATTGTAGCTCTTATCGCCAGACTGACTGTGTGAAATCACCTCCCCAGTCAGCCTATTGTGCGTATTGACATTCATATTGCACTGCACAGCCTTACAGTGCGACACAGTTGGCTTCAGTTGCTGGGATTGCTAGTCTCTGTCCAGTGATCCTGCCGACCAAGGACGGGTCTGAGGAGCTATTTGGCGTTGCAGCTAGCCTAGCTGCTAGCTAGCAGCATATCAAGCTAACAGGGTTTTCTTGAGGGCTTGAACACAACCCGGTTAGCCATTGTGGCTGGGACTACGGATTGACCCGGGTTTGTGGCTGTCTAGATCCCTGCTGTTTGTTGTTTTCAATATTCCCTGTGACCTGCCCTATCTGGAACTGCGAGGAGTAACAGCGTAACATACATTGCTAGCTACCATGACAAAGACCAAAGCCGGCGGGAGTACCGTTGTCGAGGACAGTGGTGTTTTTCTATCACACATGAAGGATCTTTTAAACGATCAAAAATAGTTCTACAAGCAGTTGTTACAACAATAAGAAAATAGCTTCAAGTACTTTGTCCAAATACTGGTGGATTCGACTAATAAAAGAATGGACGACCTGACCAGAGAGGTCCAGGACCTAAAGAACAGTTTGCAGTTCTCCCAGGGTCAGCTCGATGAGTTTAAACAGGAGAACGGCAAGATTACAGAAATCTGTAACTCATTGCGAGAGGACATCAGTTCTGTGTGTGAATCCATGATAACAATAACGGATAAATCAGACTATCTCGAGGGACAATCAAGGCGTAACAACATGGTTGTGGACGGAATTGCAGAATCTCCACATGAGACCTGGACGGAGTCTGAGGACAAAATGAGGGAAATTATCTCCGAGAAATTGAAGATGGACTACAGGAAGATTGAGGTGGAGCACGCCCTCAGGACTGGAAAACCTACCACCGGCCCAGGTGACAGGCTCAGGCCGATAGTGGTCAAGTTCCTGAGGTTCATGGACAAGGTAGCTGTTCTGGAAAGAGCCAAGAACTTGAGAGGAATTTATATCTTTCTCAGCGAGGACTATCCTGAAGCTGTGCGCCAGAAGAGGAAAGAACTTATCCCAGCCATGAAAGCTGCCAGAGTGCGTGGGGACATTGCTTACATCCGCTATGACAGGCTCATTGTCCACCCTCCCTCCCAGAAGCCTGGAAGGGATGAGAGAGCCAAGCCTATGGGTTTGTAGCTTCAACCCCGCAGCACAAACACACACACACCAATTGATTAATGGACTGCTGAATATATACTTTTTTCTCTTGCTTTGTTTGCTCTTTTCAGTATTATGTCTATCGCTGAGAAGCTACTCAGGAAAGAGCTGAAAATAGCCCATATTAATATATGTAGCCTTAGACATAAGGTTAATAAAATCAATAACTTGCTAATATTATATATTATATATTAGCCATTTCTGAGACTCACTTAGATAATTAATTTGATGATACAGCAGTAGCAATACAAAAATATAACATCTATAGAAGAGACATAAATGCTTATGGGGGAGGTGTTGCTGACAATATATTCAGGGCCATATACCTGTAATGCTTAGAGAAGATCTAAAGCCTTTTATTTTGGGGTGTTGCTATAGGGCACCAAGTGCGAACATTCAGTATCTAAATAATATGTGTGAAATGCTTGATATTGTATGTGATGTAAACAGAGAGGTCTACTTTCTTGGGGACCTGAATATTGACTGGTTTTCATCAAGCTGTCCACTCAAGAGGAAGCTTCTTACTGTAACCAGTGCCTGTAATCTGGTTCAGGTTATTAATCAACCTACCAGGGTGTTTACAAATACTACAGGAACAAGATCATCCACATGTATTGATCACATTTTTACTAATACTGTAGAACTTTGTTCTAATGCTGTATCCGTACCCATTGGATGCAGTGATCACAATGTAGTGGCTATATCCAGGAAAGCCAAAGTTCCAATAGCTGGGCCTAAAATAGTGTATAAGAGATCATACAAAATATTTTGCTGTGGATGATGTAAAAAAGATTTGTTGGTCTGATGTGATTAATAAGGAGCATCCAGACGCTGCACATGAATTTATGAAATTGCTTCTTTCAATTATTGATAAACATGCACCTGTTAGGAAACTGACTGTTAGAACTGTTAAGGCTCCATGGATTGATGAGGAATTGAAAAACTGTATGGTTGAAAGAGATGGGGCAAAAGGAGTGGCTAATAAGTCTGGCTGCACATCTGACTGGTTGACTTACTGCAAATTGAGAAATTATGTGACTAAACTCAACAAAAAGAAGAAGAAACTGTATTATGAAGCCAAGATCAATGATATAAAGAATGATGGAAAAAAACTTTGGAGTACTTTAAATGAAATTATGGGCAGAAAGACAAATTCAACTCCATCTTTCATCGAATCAGATGGCTTATTCATCACAAAACCATTTGATGTTGCCAGTTATTTTAATGATTACTTAATTGGCAATGTGGGCAAACTTAGGCAGGGAATGCCAACAATGAGCAGTGAGCCATCGTGTTCATGCATAAAAAAACAAATAATGAAAGAAAAGCATTGCAAGTTTGAATTTTGTAAAGTTAGTGTGGGAGAGGTGGAAAAATTATTGTTATCGATCAATAATGACAAACCTGGCATTGACAACTTAGATGGAAAGCTACTGAGGATGGTAGCTGACTCTATAGTCACTCCTATCTGTCATATCTTTAATCTGAGCCTAGAGGAATGTCTTTGTCAGGGAAGCCAAAGTAATTCCACTACCCAAGAATGGTAAAGCGGCCTTTACTGGTTCTAACAGCAGACCTATAATCTTGCTGCCAGCTGTTAGCAAACTGTTGGAAAAAATGGTGTTTGACCAAATACAATGCTATTTCTCTGTAAACAAATTAACAACAGACTTTCAGCATGCTTATAGGGAAGGGCACTCAACATGTACTGCACTGACACAAATTACTGATGATTGGTTGAAAGAAATTGATAATAAGAAGATTGTGGGAGCTGCCTTTGATATTATTGACAATAGCCTGTTGTTGAAAAAACATATGTGTTATGGCTTTTCAACCTCTGCCATATCGTGGATTCAGAGCTATCTATCTAATAGAACTCAAAGGGTTTTCTTTAATGGAAGCTTCTCTAATGTCAAACATGTAAAGTGTGGTGTACCACAGGGCAGCTCTCTAGGCCCTCTACTATTTTCTATTTTTACCAATGACCTGCCACTGACATTAAACAAAGCATGTGTGTCCATGTATGCTGATGATTCAACCATATACGCATCAGCAACCACAGCTAATGAAGTCACTGAAACCCTTAACAAAGAGCTGCAGTCTGTTTTGGAATGGGTGGCCACTAATAAACTGGTCCTGAACATCTCTAAAACTAAGAGCATTGTATTTGGTACAAATCATTCCCTAAGTTCTAGACCTCAGCTGAATCTGGTAATGAATGGTGTGGCTGTTGAACAAGTTGAGGAGACTCAATTACTTGGCGTTACTTAGATTGTAAACTATCATGGTCAAAACATATAGATTCAATGGTTGTAAAGATGGGGAGAGGTCTGTCCGTAGTAAAGAGATGCTCTGCTTTTTTGACACCACACTCCAAAAAGCAAGTTCTGCAGGCTCTAGTTTTGTCTAATCTTGATTATTGTCCAGTCGTGTGGTCCAGTGCTGCAAGGAAAGACCTAGTTAAGCTGCAGCTGGCCCAAAACAGAGCGGCACGTCTTGCTCTTCATTGTAATCAGAGGGCTGATATGAATACTATCCATGCCAGTCTCTCTTGGCTAAGAGTTGAGGAGAGACTGACTGCACCACTTCTTATTTTTATAAAAAACATGAATGTGTTGAAAATCCCAAATTGTTTGCATAGTCAACTTATACACATCTCTGACACATACACTTACCCCACCAGACATGCCACCAGGGGTCTTTTCACAGTCCCCAAATCCAGAACAAATTCAAGAAAGCGTGCAGTATTATATAGAGCCATTATTGCATGGAACCCCGTTCCATCTCATATTGCTCAAATAAACAGCAAACCTGGTTTTAAAAAACAGAGATAAAGCAACACCTCATGGCACAGCGCCTCTCCCCTATTTGACCTAGATAGTTTGTGTGTATGTATTGATATGTAGGCTACATGTGCCTTTAATTTTTTTTTATGTAGTTCTGTCCTTGAGCTGTTCTTGTCTATTAATGTTCTGTATTATGTCATGTTTTGTGTGGACCCCAGGAAGAGTAGCTGCTGCTTTTGCAAAACATCCAGGTTGTTTTGTGTTTCCTCTGGAATAGTGTTCAATACACATAGTAGGGTGAGTGGTACAATACATGTGGCTCAATTCACAGTGGTTTCAAAGTCCCGCAATAAGAGCTACGACGCTAATGTTCTCTGGGTGTCACTGAGTAGACTGATACCCCATGTCATTGATCCATAATCCATAGATAAGTCTATACAGTGAAATAAATATGCCCCCAATGCAATTCTAAAGTCTAATACATCCAGTGTGATTACAACAGATTTCTGTCAAATGAACAAATTATTTTATTTTGTTGAATTTATATAACAACGATCCAACCTTGTTTAGCATGATCCATGGCATAATTCCACTATTTGTATTCATTTGCATCACTGTCAATGACATACTTTTATTTTGAGGGCTAACCGCAAATTCCACTATTTTGGCTAATCCTTATTGTGGCTAGCTTCACATAGGTGGGTTTGACCACCATTAATCAAATAAGAACAGTTTTATAAATTAGGGGTATTTTAGATGATGACACCTAGCTAAATAGTTAGCTAGCTAACTATGGCTATTGAAATAGATTGTCGTTTTGCTATGTTTTTGGGGAAGAACATTGTTTGCATCCATCAGCTAACGTTAGCTAGCTTTTTTTATGACCAGCACTGTCCAGAGCTTGGGGAAGGTCAGGTATGCGAGACAAAACTTTACCAGCATCATAGCATACGTATCGACGAGTCATTGTGAAATATGAAATATGAGTGATAGTGTAATCAATGTGTAATAACTACGTAAAAAATGTATGAACGTGTTAAATTGTTATGTGACGTGCAGTCATATTCAGGTCCTGATTGGTCAACAAGCTTGTATCTTTTTTGACATGCAAAGACCCAAACGGCGTTCCATAGTTGCCGTGTATTTGTGGAGTTGTCATTATGTGCTAGCCAGTTTGTAATTGATAAACGGCGAAAATATTGCGACAGTATTGGAGGATTTGGCTATACCGACATCTATGGATATCATAACTCTGTCTGTCAAACAGGTAGGCCTACCACTTATTTTTTTGAATAGGAAGAAATAGGCTCCAATTATATATGTAATTCTATGATTAGGCCCATAAAAAATGTTGTCACATAAATAAATGTCACATATAGGAGGTCCCTTACCGGACAGAAGGGAATTTTACTTTAACCCCTGCGTTGGAGAGTTACAATGTTGCAATCACTATGCAGCCAACTGCCTATAGTAGCAAACCGAGTTTCTTACTAATAATATGTCACCTGTTATCACACATGGCACGACCCCACAATTGTTACAATTACAATAAAAATAACACTTTTATTTAACATATAATTTAATATTCCTGTACAACTGTAAAAAGAGTGAGATCATTTGAGCTTTGGAAACAAGTACTTTCATAAATGCATGGCGGGCCTCGTTTCGCTGGAGCAGTGTAAAATAAGCTTTATGTCAATGACCCAGCCTTAACTAATTTAATTTATTTACATATCGAATTTGATTGTCCAACATCAGTTTCAGCATTTCTTTATTTCGTGGCCCGCCTAGAGTGGCCTCTTTCCTCTGCTGTGGTGCTGCATTGCAGTCAGTGATGTTTTCTCTCGGTAGCTGTCCATGGTCCTGAAATCAAATCATTTGAGAGAGAGAGAGAGAGAGAGAGAGAGAGAGAGAGAGAGAGAGAGAGAGAGAGAGATTAAGATGTAGTCTATTTAAATCTGAAAAATACAAAGTAACAGGTGATAAATAATTGAGTAATCTTACAAATTACTTGGTGATAGAATTTATGCGAGTGTATGATCAACGCTTACCTTTTATTCAAAGACAAGTTGACTCGCCTGTCCTTCCTGGCAGCAAAAGCATGCACTGCTTCTTGGAGGTTGATTTTGTAAGACAACTCGTGCTCAATTGATATGGTGGTGAGTCCATTGAGTCTCTCATGATTTATAGTAGAGCGCAGGTCGTTTTTTTATGAGTTTGAGCTTGGAGAATGTGCGCTCTCCACTTGCCACTGTCACGGGGAGTGTGAGAAGAACTCTCAGGGCAACAAAGGCATTGGGATACAAGGAGGCACGTGAAATATTACATTTACAAAAGTATTCAGACCCTTTACTCAGTACTTTGTTGAAGCACCTTAGGCAGCGATTACAGCCTCGAGTCTTCTTGGGTATGACGCTACAAGCTTGGCACACCTGTATTTGGGGAGTTTCTCCCATTCTTCTCTGCACAGCTATTTTCAGGTCTCTCCAGAGATTACATTTACATTTTAGTCATTAGCATTTACATTTTAGTCATTTAGCAGACGCTCTTATCCAGAGCGACTTACAGGAGCAATTAGGGTTAAGTGCCTTGCTTAAGGGCACATCGACAGATTTTTCACCTAGTCGGCTCGGGGATTAGAACCAGCGACCTTTTGGTTACTGGCACAACGCTCTTACCCACTAAGCTACATGCCGCCTTTTCGATCAGGTTCAAGTCCGGGCTCTGGCTGGGCCAGTCTCCCAGTCCCTGATGCTGAAAAACATCCCCACAGCATGATGCTGCCACCACCATGCTTCACCGTAAGGATGGTGCCAGGTTTCCTCCAGACGTGATGCTTGGCATTCAGGCCAAAGAGTTCAATCTTGGTTTCATCAGACCAGAGAATCTTGTTTCTCATGGTCTAAGAGTCTTTAGGTGCCTTTTGGCAAACTCCAAGTGGGCTGTCATGTGCCTTTTACTGAGGAGTGGCTTCCGTCTGCCCAGTCTACCATTAAGGCCTGATTGGTGGAGTGCTGCAGAGATGGTTGTTCATCTGGAAGATTCTCCCATCTCCACAGAGGAACTCTGGAGCTCCTTCAGAGTGACTATCAGGTTCTTGGTCACCTCCCTGACCAAGGCCCTTCTCCCCCGATTGCTCAGTTTGGCTGGGCGGTGAGCTCTAGGAAGAGTCTTGGTGGTTCCAAACTTCTTCCATTTAATAATGATGGAGGCCACTGTGTTCTTGGGGACCTTCAATGCTGCAGACATTTTTTGGTGTCCTTCCCCAGCTCTGTGCCTCGACACAATTCTGTCTCGGAGTTCTACGGACAATTCGTTCGACCTCATGGCTTGGTTTTTGCTCTGACATGCACTGTCAACTGACCTTTATATAGACAGGTGTGTGCCTTTCCAAATCATGTTCAATCAATTGAATTTACCACAGGTGGAATCCAATCAAGTCGTAGAAACATCTCAAGGATGATCAATGAAAACAGGATGTACCTGAGCTCAATTTCGAATCTCATAGCAAAGGGTCTGAATACTTATATAAGTAAGGTATTTCTGTTTTTATTTTTAATAAATTTGCAAAAATGTCAAAAATCTGTTTTCGCTTTGTCCTTATGGGGTATTGTGTGTAGATTGAGGAGGAAAAATATTTATTTAATCAATTTTAGAATAAGGCTGTAACGTAACAAAATGTGGAAAAAGTCAAGGGGTCTGAATACTTTCCGAATGCACTGTATTACACTAGATCTGTATTTGGGGAGTTTCTCCCATTCTTCTCTGCAGATCCTCTCAAGCTCTGTTGGGTTGGATGGGGAACATCGCTGCACAGCTTTTTTCAGGTCTCTCCAGAGATGTTTGGTCGGCCAGGCTAATGTTGCTAACTAGCTAACCATGAGCTAGATAGTTAGATAACAGGCGTTTTCAATTTAAAACTTGCCCAAGACAGTTCACAGAATGTTCAATTTAAACAACTTTAGCCAATTTATTCATTACTAAATTTAGCTAACATTAGATAGTTAATCCAGAGATTCTTACCTTTGTCTCGATTCAGCAGTCTCGTCCAGATCATCATGGCCCTGGTGAGTGACGTGAAGCTTGAGACAGGCATTTGTATTTCTGTATGATAGCCACATTAGTAGCTAATTAGCATTTCATTATTGGGGGGTAAATACAGGCGAATATATTGATAAAAGTCACCTTGTCCGAGAGGGATTTACACGGTTATCAAAATGTCACGCCAGGGTAAGCCTACACGAAACACAGCCCTTATTTGAAGTGTTTCTAAAATCCACAATGGATTAAATGTTGGAACCAAAAAAAAATATTGGAACCATTTCCGTGTTTGACCGCTAGGTTTTATGGGTATTATGACTCATACTGTAGTAGACTATATAGGCCTAATATACTGTGTGCAGTCAGAGACAAAACAAAAACCTAGCAATGTCACACTCCAGTGGTGGACAAAGGAATAACATGATATTCAAACAGGGCAACTACAACGTTATCTCATCTCTATCTACTTTGCTCTTCATCTGTAGTGTGGTGACATCATCCCTGAGTCCAAGGCTGTGCTGGAGCTTGTGGACCAGCGACTGGAGTCTAAGGAGAAAACAGCCTTTCCTGTTATTGTCATAGAGGGATTGGATGCTACAGGTTAACACCATCACTACTTCACTATTGTCCTTGCCAATTCGATGTAGCCGACTGTATACGGCCAGGAGTTTTCCTTTCTGATCACGTCACATGGTCAGGAAAAACTTCTGCTCCTATTAATCACATCAGAATGCTGACACAGTAATCAGGTCATACAATACTGAATGCTCTTTCAGTCAGTTACAATGCTTTCAATTTTCTCTTCTGTCATTTCTCTCTATTCCCATTACTGCTCAGGTAAAACCACTCTGACTGAGTCCCTGACGGAGGCACTGGGGGCCACTCTCCTGAGGTCCCCTCCCCAGTGTCTGTCCCCATGGAGGGCCCGCTTCGACACTGAGCCCCCCCTCATCCGCAGGGCCTTCTATGCCCTTGGGAACTACCTGACAGCAGGACAGATAGGCCAGGAGGCCAGGAAAGCACCTGTCATTTTAGACAGGTAAGGGCAGCATGAAATAGCTTTGGTGTTGTAGCAAGTTTGATGAGTTGGGATATGTGACCCCTTCTGAATGTATGGCTGTGTCTGAAATCTGTCTTGCCTACTACTTACTAAAACTACATACTGTGTACTAACCATCAGTGGCAGTCGGTGCTGTTTAAGATGAGGGAGGACAATCTTTTTTTTTTATGAGCATGGCCTTATTTCTAATTTATTACAGCATATTGGATGACTGTCATTCATATTCAATTCACCATTCACTAGCTCAATGTAACATTGATAGGTTTAGGCTATTACATGATACTTGAATTTTCCCTATACCCATCATGAGGTTGCTACAACCTAGCCTACGAATGAAAGTTAATAATGTAGGTGCACATGCCGAGAGACAAATTGAAGTAATCAAGGCGATATATCGAGATCACATCTTCCTCTCTGATAAGCGGTTTCAACTCGCTATTTGCATTTGAGGTTTCGGCCAACAGAATCGGTCATATACACTACATGACCAAAAGTATGTGGACACCTGCTCGTCGAACATCTCATTCCAAAATCATGGGCATTAATATGGAGTTGGTCCCCTCTTTGCTGCTATAACAGCCTCCACTCTTCTGGGAAGGCTTTCCACTAGATGTTGGAACATTGCTGCAGGGACTTACTTCCATTCAGCCACAAGAGCATTAGTGAGGTCGGACACTGATGTTGGGTGATTAGGCCTGCCTCGCAGTCGGCGTTCCAATTCATCCAAAAGGTGTCCGATGGGGTTGAGGTCAGAGCTCTGTGCAGGCCAGTCAAGTTCTTGGCATTGCACATGGTGATCTTAGGCTTGTGTGCGGCTGCTCGGCCATGGAAACCCATTTCATGATGCTCCCGACAAACATTTATTGTGCTGATGTTGCTTCCAGAGGCAGTTTGGAACTCGGTAGTGAGTGTTGCAACCGAGGACAGACAAATTTTAAGCCCTAGCACTAGGCGGTCCCATTCTGTGAGCTTGTGTGGCCTACCACTTCGCGGCTGAGACGCTGTTGCTCCTAGACGTTTCCACTTCACAATAACAGCACTTACAGTTGACCGGGGCAGCTCTAGCAAGGCAGACATTTGACGAACTGACTTGTTGGAAAGGTGGCATCCTATGACGGTGCCATGTTGAAAGTTACTGAGCACTTCAGTAAGTCCATTCTACTGCCATTGTTTGTCTATGGAGATTGCATGGCTGTGTGCTCAATTTTATACACCTGTCAGCAACGGATGTGGCTGAAATAGCCAAATCCACTAATTTAAAGGGGTGTCCACATGCTTTTGTATACAGTTGAAGTCGGAAGTTTACATACACCTTAGCCAAATACATTTAAACTCAGTTTTTCACAATTCCTGACATTTAATCCTAGTAAAAATTCCCTGTCTTAGGTCAGTTAGGATCACCACTTTATTTTAAGAATGTGAAATGTCAGAATAATAGTAGAGAGAATGATTTATTTCAGCTTTTATTTCTTTCATCACGTTCCCAGTGGGTCAGAAGTTTACATACACTCAATTACTATTTGGTAGCATTGCCTTTAAATTGTTTAACTTGGGTCAAACGTTTCGCGTAGCCTTCCACAAGCTTCCCACAGTAAATTGGGTGAATTTTGGCCCATTCCTCCTGACAGAGCTGGTGTAACTGAGTCAGGTTTGTAGGCCTCCTTGCTCGCACACGCTTTTTCAGTTCTGCCCACAAATGTTCTATAGGGTTGAGGTCAGGGCTTTTTGATGGCCACTCCAATACCTTGTCTTTGTTGTCCTTAAGCCATTTTGCCACAACTTTTAAAGTATGCTTGGGGTCATTGTCCATTTGGAAGACCCATTTGCGACCAAGCTTTAACTTCCTGACTGATGTCTTGAGATGTTGCTTCAATATATCCACATAATTTTCCTATTTTGTGAAGTGCACCAGTCCCTCCTGCAGCAAAGCACCCCCACAGCATGATGCTGCCACCCCCGTGCTTCACGGTTGGGATGGTGTTCTTCGGCTTGCAAGCATCCCCCTTTTTCCTCCAAACATAACGATGGTCATTATGGCCAAACAGTTCTATTTTTGTTTCATCAGACCAGAGGACATTTCTCCAAAAAGTACGATCTTCGTCCCCATGTGCAGTTGCAAACCGTAGTCTGGCTTTTTTATGGCGGTTTTGGAGCAGTGGCTTCTTCCTTGCTGAGCGGCCTTTAAGGTTTTGTCGATATAGGACTCGTTTTACTGTGGATATAGATACTTTTGTACCTGTTTCCTCCAGCATCTTCACAAGGTCCTTTGCTGTTGTTCTGGGATTGATTTGCACTTTTTTCGCACCAAAATACATTCATCTCTAGGAGACAGAACGCGTCTCCTTCCTGAGCGGTATGACGGCTGCGTTGTCCCATGGTGTTTATACTTGCGCACTATTGTTTGTACAGATGAACGTGGTACCTTCAGCCGTTTGGAAATTGCTCCCAAGAATGAACCAGACTTGTGGAGGTCTACAATTTTTTTTCGGAGGTATTGGCTGATTTCTTTTGATTTTCCCATGATGTCAAGCAAAGAGGCACTGAGTTTGAAGGTAGGCCTTGAAATACATCGACAGGTACACCTCCAATTGACTCAAATTATGTCAATTAGCCTATCAGAAGCTTCTAAAGCCATGACATCATTTTCTGGAATTTTCCAAGCTGTTTAAAGGCACAGTCAACTTAGTGTGTGTAAACTTCTGACCCACTGGAATTGTGATACACAAAGTAAATGTCCTAACCGACTTGCCAAAACTATAGTTTGTTAACAAGACATTTGTGGAGTAGTTGAAAAACGAGTTTTAATGACTCCAACCTAAGTGTATGTAAACTTCCGACTTCAACTGTATATAGTATATTTAGCCTAGGTATAACTTCACAAGCCCTGAATTCATTAGATTATTGCTGACTGTTTGAAATGCAGTGTATTTTACCTTTAATTGTACAACACTTATTTAAAGAAAACTTAAAAACATTGTAGATATATATCGTGAATCGCCCATAAATTAAAACAAATCTAGATATGATTTTTAGGCCATATATCGCCCAGCCCTAGGTGACAGGCAGTGACACATTCAATACCACCTTGCACACTCTTGCCTGCATCTAGCTGATCTAGTGTGATGAGGTGTGAATGAAGGAGTCAGGCGCAGGAGGTCAAACACCGAAGTCCAGAGTTTATTCCGTTTACATAAATAAAACGCACCCAGCGTCAAAACGAAACTATCACAAGGGAAATATTCCACCTTGGCAATAACTACCGAGCTACTCGCTCTCACAATGAAACAATCACTCACAAAGACAAGGGGAACAGAGGGAACACTTATACACATACTAATTAGGGGAATGAGCACCAGGTGTGTGTGATTGACAAGACAAGACATGACAAGTGGAGTGATGAGAATGGGATCGGCAGTAGCTCGTAAGCCGGTGACGACGAACGCCGAAACCTGCCCGAACAAGGAGGGGAGGCAGCCTCGGCGGAAGTCGTGACATCTAGGGTGTAATCATTAGCCCAAACAGTTGCAAAACGTTGCAAAAAGCAACCAAAACTAGAGTTCTATTGGACAAATTCAGGTAGGTCTATCCCCGTTTTATTCTTGTTTGCTTCCGTTTAAGAAAAGTATTTCAACAGAATCGGCGGAATGAATACACACACCCCTGATCACCCGCACACACAGTTTTTTCATAGCAACCACATACAAACAGCATCATCACTTTGCTCATTGTATAATTCCTTCTCGCATCTACGCGCTCTCCTCCTCTCACCTTTTCCCTTTGCTTGTGGACTTCAGTGCACGACACAACAGCTGTCTGTGACCAGGCGAAAAACCTCTCCAAACCAAACATTCATACCATAACCGCTAACCGCTACACACAGCCTACATCATTGTCACCAAATTGGCTAACGTCATAGTCAACATAGCTACTAGAAATAACGTGTTAATAAACCTGCTATAATTACGCAGTACAGTGTACAGCAGTGGTCACCAACCTTTTCTGAGTCAAGATCACTTTCTGAGTCAGAATGCAAGCCGAGATCTATCGCTCTGATTTTTTAAAAACATTACTTAAAAAACGTAAGCCTATGCAACATTACCCAATTAAAACAGTTCTGTAGCAATGAGGTTTGTGCAGTAGGCTATAGGCCCAATACATTATCACTGCATATTGGCTATGCTTGAATTGCCCTGCCAATGTTGTTCTTCTCAGATCAAAATGTAGGTATATGATCACACTGGTAATAGATAATTTGTTGTATTACTTGTGAGGCACAGCTAAGTGAGCATAATATACAGTACCAGTCAAAAGTTTGGACACACCTACTCATTCAAGGGTTTTTCTTAATTTTTCCTATTTTCTACAATGTAGAATAAAAGTAAAGACATCAAAACTATGAAATAACATATATGGAATCATGTAGTAACCAAAAAAGTGTTAAACAAATCAGAATATATTTTATATTTGAGATTCTTCTTCACCCTTTCCCTTGATGACAGCTTTGCACACTCTTGGCATTCTCTCAACCAGCTTCATGAGGTAGTCACCTGGAATGCATTTCAATTAACCGTTGTGCCTTGTTAAAAGTTAATTTGTGGAATTTCTTTCCTTCTTAATGCGTTTGAGCCAATCAGTTGTGTTGTGACAAGGTAAGGTTGGTATACAGAAGATAACCCTATTTGGTAAAAGAGCAAGTCCATATTATGGCAAGAACAGCTCAAATAAGCAAAGAGAAACGACAGTCCATCATTACTTTAAGACATGAAGGTCAGTCAATCCTATGACCAAAGAAAGTGAAATATTCCTTGATATTAAAAAAGACACAAGCCACTAATAATAACAACGCAAGCTTATCGGAACACTTTGCTATACTCAGTCATTGCAACTGCAGTGCTGGTGGCTTATAAAGCTTAAATGTCTTATAAAGGTGTTGAAATTGCTGAAAAATAACTTAAACATGAATTGACACATAAAAACAGTAGCTCTTTGCTGTATTCGTTTAGTCTTTAGTCATGATTTTAAAAGTTTTGAAATCTCACAGTATCAACTTTGCTGTGCGTTCGAGGCTTCTTTTTACTCTATGGCTCAAATAAACTGTGCAGACACGGTGATCTGAGCCATGATTGGCCAGCGTTAGGCCTATAGGTGCACTTGAATTGCTATCTGGGCCTGCCAGGGATAGGCGAAGTTCTACCTTCAGACACATGGAATGGTTCAACATGGAAACACTTTGCCTTCCCTGCGATAGGGCTGCTGAATCAAGTGCACCTACTGCCAACAGCGCAAAAAAAAATAAAAAAAAATAGAAACACCAGGCTTTATCGTTGGGTTTTTTACATAAATGTTTGGTGATCGACTAGGAATGCCTTGGAGATTGACCAGTCGAAATATACTGTGTATAGGTCTCTCTCTGCAGCTTCTCTTTCATTTTTGAAGAAATTAATTTGTTGTCTTTCTCTCTCTTTGAGTCAACTATTCACCACATTTTATGCACTGCAGTGCTAGCTAGCTGTAGCTTATGCTTTCAGTACTAGATTAATTCTCTCATCCTTTAATTGGGTGGATATGCCAGTTCATGCTGCAAGATCTCAGATAAGTTGGAAGACGTCCTCCGGAAGTTGTCATAATTACTGTGTAAGTCTATGGAAGGGGGTGAGAACCATGAGCCTTTTGTATTGAAGTCAATGTACCCAGAGGAGGATGGAAAAAAGCTGTCCTCCGGCTACACCATGGTGCTACCCTACAGAGTGCTGTTGAGACTACTGTAGACCTTTCATTGCAAAACAGTGTATTTTAATTAGTTTTTTGGTGACATGTGAATATATGTAGTATAGTTTTATCTAAAAAGGATAACCTTTTTAAAATGTTGCACTATTTTATTTTTCTGAAATTCACTGAGGAGGATGGTCCTCCCCTTCCTCCTCTGAGGAGCCTCTACTGCTAACCATACTACATACTATTTAGAACATACTGTTTACTATAGATGTATGCAGTAAGCAACAAATATCAACATACTAGGGACACCCATACTGAGAATGGTCATCTAATGCGCAATTGCATTATTTCCCGCCATTCGTTCATTTTGGTACAGTCGTCCTCGTATGTGATTATCAGCTGTTATAAAACATGTGGGTCTGAAAAGGTGTTTCTCTTCATCAATAGTGTGCAGTGAAATCTACTAGATGAAAAGCCAGAAAGAGTATAACATCCTGGCATTTAAGGCATACTCAATTTTATAAATGTCCCATACTATAAAATGTTCTATTTTCACATACCCAATCAGCCTACTATTTAGAATGGATATTCGGACACGGCCATTTGTAGAGTGCGAATCGTGTGTGTAACTCAAATACATAGCCTTAGTAGGCTATGCCAGTGGAAAAGCACAGGAAAGATTCAAATGTTCAATTTAAGTTGGTAAACATAGCTGTGAACAAACCACCAAACAACACCAGTATACCAGACATAGTCTCTGGTCTTTGAGGCTCACAACAACCCACTATCTCCCTAAACTCTCCATTCCTCCCAGGTACTGGCACAGCACAGCAGCCTATGCCATAGCCACGGCGGTGGGTGGTAAGCTGGGTAACCTGCCCCAGGCTGGCAGTGAGGTGTATGGCTGGCCAGGGGACCTGCTGAGGCCCAGCCTGGTGCTGCTGCTCAGCCTTAGCCCACAGGAGAGGATGAGGAGACTACAGGTCAGAGGTCAGGACAAGACCAGGGAGGAGGAGGAGCTGGAGGCCAATCACCTGTTCAGACAGAAGTAAGATTTCTTGTGCAGAGCCTGTGGTCTAGTGGGAACACACCTGTCTCAAGCACACATGTCGACCGCAGAGGCCGGGGTTTGATCCCTGTGTCCAACCTTCCTACAGTGTCTCCCCTTCATCAAGCCCCCCTCTACTTTGACCAAAAAAGTACGATGACTGAAATTCAGACAAAACTATTCTTCAAGTTTACCACTGTATGAGCATGTGATACAGCTTACACTACTGAAGTGAGTAGATATACACTACCGTTCAAAAGTTTGGGGTCACTTACAAATTTCCTTGTTTTCGAAAGAAAAACAATTTTTTTGTCCATCAAAATAACATCAAATTGATCAGAAATACAGTGTAGACATTGTTAATGTTGTAAATGGCTATTGTAGCTGGAAACGGCTGATTTTTTATGGAATATCTACATAGGCGTACAGAGGCCCATTATCAGCAACCATCAGTCCTGTGTTCCAATGGCACGTTGTGTTTGCTAATCCAAGTTTATCATTTTAAAATGCTAATTGATCATTAGAAAACCCTTTTGCAATTATGTTAGCACAGCTGAAAACTGTTGTGCTGATTAAAGAAGCAATAAAACTGGCCTTCTTGAGACGTTGAGTATCTGGAGCATCAGCAATTGTGTGTTCGATTACAGGCTCAAAATGGCCAGAAACAAAGAACTTTCTTCTCAAACTCGTCAGTCTATTCTTGTTCTGAGAAATGAAGGCTATTCCATGCGAGAAATTACCAAGAAACTGAAGATCTCGTACAACGCTGTGTACTACTCCCTTCACAGAACAGCGCAAACTAGCTCTAACCAGAATAGAAAGAGGAGTGGGAGGCCCCGGTGCACAACTGAGCAAGAGGACAAATACATTAGAGTGTCTAGCTTCACAGGTCCTCAACTGGCAGCTTCATTAAATAGTACCCGCAAAACACCAGTCTCAACGTCAACAGTGAAGAGGCGACTCGGTTTCTCAAACTAGACACTAATGTATTTGTCCTCTTGCTCAGTTGTGCACCGGGGCCTCCCACTCCTCTTTCTATTCTGGTTAGAGCCAGTTTCAGAAGAAAGTTATTTGTTTCTGGCCATTTTGAGCCTGTAATCGAACCCACAATTGCTGATGCTCCAGATACTCAACTAGTCTCAAGAAGGCCAGTTTTATTGCTTCTTTAATCAGCACAACAGTTTTCATCTGTGCTAACATAATTTGCAAAAGGGTTTTCTTATGATCAATTAGCCTTTTAAAATGATGAACTTGGATTAGCAAACGCAACGTGCCATTGGAACACAGGACTGATGGTTGCTGATAATGGGCCTCTACGCCTATGTAGATATTCCATAAAAAATCAGCCATTTACAACTACAATAGCCATTTACAACATTAACAATGTCTACACTGTATTTCTGATCAATTTGATGGACAAAAAAATTGCTTTTCTTTCGAAAACAAGGACATTTCTAAGTGACCCCAAACATTTGAACGGTAGTGTACATTAGTACATATTACACGTTCTACTCCAATGTATTGATAGCACCTACTTTTTCGGTGTATGTAAAACAGGTGGGGAACACACACTTTACAGCGGTTTATTAACATACCTTACACACTGCTGAATTGAAGTGGTCAGATGAGCATCACTAACTGTGATCTGCACACACACACACAGTCTTGTTTAACCAATCTTGTGGGGACACACAATTGATTCCCATTCAAAATCCTACTTTCCTTAACCCTAAACCTAACTTCTAATTCTAACCATAAACCCCCTAGAAATAGCCCATTTTCCTTGTGGGGACCGACAAAATGTCCCCAGTTGGTCACATTTTTGTTTGTTTACTATTCTGGTCCCCACAAGTATAGTTAAACATGTCCACACACACACACACACACACACACACACTACTGTACCTAATTGAGTGAGGTCATCAGGTCCTCCTCTATCTTAGTCTGACCCATCAAACACTTAACAATCAATTACCATCCCGAGGGGAACCATCTGATGAGGAAAGAACAAGTGATTAGTTGCTGAGCTGGTCTGCTCCATTACGCACTGCTAGTAGTCAGACTGGTCGATGGCAACTTTCGTTCATTCTCCCCACTGACATCATGGGCTTTGTCCCAAATGGCACCCTATTCCCTACATAGTGCACTACTTTTGACCTGGGCCCATTCGGCTCTGGTCAAAAGTAGTGCACTATTTAGGGAATAGGGTGTCAATTGGGAGGAATGCTTTCCACATGGGCTCACCAGATGTTCAACCAGCAGTCATTATCCTCAAGGAAGACAACTGTTGATCACTGTTGACAGTCTGGACTCTGGGACTCAGTCCATCACCTGTCCAAACCTCTGGAATAATGATTGTGTGCTGTCAGTTGTTGTTTTTTAATCTTCCAGACCATCGTTCATACTATTTCTCAATGTCCACTATGGCTGCCATATGTTTTGGTACTTACTGTGTGAAATATATTACAGTATATGGATGGACCAGGCAAAGGCATAGCAATTTGCGGTCTAAAATTGACATTACATTTGTAAATTTTTTTGTCATTTAGCAGACGCTCTTATCCAGAGCGACTTACAGTTTTAGTGAGTGTATACATTTTTCATACAACAATCGAAAACCATTGTGATCATCATTTTATAGCATTATAGCATTACTTATCCTTATGGCCCTGAGTTTGAGCTTTTTCCTGGTTTGGTTAGGTTATGTGATCAGGAAAAACAATTAATTTGGTGTACCATCTCAAAAGTAATACTGACCCAGTTTTTAAGTGCTGTGTTAATTTGTGGGACATAATTACTTATTCTCTTTGTCTGCAGAGTCGAGGAGGCTTACCAGCGGATTGAGGGCCCGGCCTGCGTCACTGTGGATGCCAGTCCTTCTCCAGACCAAGTGCTCCAACAAGTGCTACTTTTAATTAGGGAAAAATGCCACTTGTAAACAGCTCCTCTCCTCTCCCAGTCTTGCCCCAGATGGCTGATGTTCCGTTGTGTTCCACTAGGTGGTAGTAGAGTGCCATTGATTTGACCGATGCAGGGCTAGTGAGAAGAGTGCAGGGTGTAGAGTATCTGGACTGTGGATAAGCCTCATATGGCAAAGGGCCAGTACTACACACTCACACACACAAGTATGCATGCACGCAGTAGCACACAGTCTCTCTCTCTCCCACACACACACAAACACACACAGATAGAGCCAAGACCCCGACCAGGGCATGTCACAACATGTCCTATTATGTATGACTGCCATCAGTGAGATGAGGAGGAACGTTATTATGAATGCTATTGTGATCTGTCAGTAGTGATACTTAGGGATATACAGCCAGACAGCCCGCGGTGACAACCATTTTTATTAGGCCTGAGATTCAGGAAATGAAAGGGAGGGTTTGTATATTCATCAGTCACTTCTATTTCATTCAAACATATGGGCCAGCAGCTAACTCTACATTTTCCTTTTGAAGTAGCTATATGGACCCAGGGATTAAAACACACACACAGAGCAATATGATCCATTTCACATTACAATAACACTACTCATTTGTTTGAGTACCATTTAAAATTAAAGGAAACATGTTGAATATACCAGAAGTCTGTCTCTGGACTGTTCTTGACCGAGTGTCTTATATAAGGAATATTATATAGTGCAATGTCAAGGGTGTTTTCTTTATGCACAGGTACTCGGATGCTTTGATGCAAGTAGTTGGCAACTACAGTGTAAGTGAGTGAGCTGTTTATTTGGTAAAGCACACCTCACCTCTGTGACAGATGCCATGTATTGTATCACTGAAAATAACTGCATATGAGGCAGTGAAAGCAGTGCACATTATGTGCTTATGAAAATGCACACTGTGCACTCATGCACATACACACATATACACACGTACACAAAAACACAAACACTCCCTCTTTCTTCTCTCCCTTTTCTCTCTCTCTCTCTCTCTCTCTCTCTCTCTCTCTCTCTCTCCCTCTCCCTCTATCACCCATGCACACACACACACCCACACTTATACAGTAACACATTTATATTGTAGGAAGCTTTATTTGGCCGGTGATGGGAAGATTAATTTGAGGTTTTAGTAATTATGAGCTTGGCAAGGCTGTGGGCCGGAGAAGACAGAGTGACCCATCTCTTTTACAGTGATGCATCAGCAGAGAGGCAACGGCAGCGTACCTCTTCTTCCAATTACTGCATTCAGTGTTTTCAGTGGCCGGAGAGATACTATCATTTTTAATATTAACATCAGGAATTATTTTGCAACATATATTCCTGGGAATTATATAATGTTTGTTGAAATTATTCAAGTAAGGCAAGTCTGTGCAGTATAGTCCAAAACAATTGGTTTTACAAGGAGTGAAAATTGCATTGCTTTGGGTAAAAACCTGAGGTACTGAAAATGTATCAGCCTCCAGACATTTTATATGTCACAAGGGCGTTACTACGGAACAGTTTCCAATTGTTTACTGTAAGTCTGACTAAAAGTTTCTTAAATGTAAGCAGTTACTCAGACAAAAAGCTCTGCTCATGTTTATAGACATTCCTTTTAAATCTAAAATGTAAAACTGAGTAACACAGTAGCTTCTGTCTCAAGAGTACACTAAAGTTCTGTGGTAGGAAAGCAGAGTGACTGATGCCGGTAATGCCACAGGCCAATCTCTTGGCATCATGTGTCATAGGCTCAAGGCAGAACTGTATAGTTATGTGGTAGTAGCATGATGTCTAACATATTTCTTAGATGTTGTAATTTCTTGTCATTCTTGGCTGCAGAACATTCTAGAGTGATGTAACTGAATGTTCTACACCAAGGCTTAAAGAAGTCCTATACAATGTAAGTTACATCCAAACAAGATGACATTATCACACAAAAGTCCCTTTTGTTTTAGAAAGAAGTTAATAACTAAATTCAAGGGGACGTTGTCAGTCCATAAACGTACACTTTCAGAAATATAGGTTTAGATTTGTTCCTAAAGGGGTACAACCGCTTGCCATTAGGGTGGTACCCTGTAAGGACCCCCTTTGTACTTTTAATTATAGATACATAATTGTACCCCAGTTCATACCGCAGATAGTACCTTTCTCCACAGGTACAAAAGCATCCTTTTTGCCTTTATATAGTACCACCACAGTGAGAAAGCCATTTGTTCCTTGTAAGTCGCAAAGATTTACCTCTACCATAGACCACTTAAACTGGTACAACACTGCTTATCCCCTTTCCAACTGGGATTTTGCAACCCTAACTGCAAGTCACATTATGCTGGCCTGCAAAGTGATTTGTAATTCCTATTGGAATACAGCCAGAGTTAGGATATCCAACAGTTGGAATTTATATTCACCCACAACTTGTATTCATAATGACTGTCAGGGTTAGAAACATTGAGTGGAGACTACCTAAGCCATTTAAACGGAAACAACCATTTCCATAACGGGTGCAAAAAATTGAACTAACTGATTGGATTTGTTTAGAAAAATGGATGTTATTTATCTTTGTGTAGCATAAGATTAATTAATCAATCAATCAATGTAGGCCTACATGCAAAAACACTAAAAATCTACCTGCTAGAGCATGTTGGAAAATATGATGATGATAATAATTATGGTACAAATGTGCCTTTTTAGGGTACCACCCCAGTGATAAAGCCATTAGTTTTAGGTAACAAAAATGAATAATTGTACCTTATGGTGGGTATTAAGGGTATTGAGGGTACACAAAATACATTTGTACCCTGGGAAACAGAAATGTACCTTCACATTGTACCCCTTTTTTTTGAGAGTGAGTGTGATGATTGTATCTACAGTATACAGTGGGGGAAAAAAAGTATTTAGTCAGCCACCAATTGTGCAAGTTCTCCCACTTAAAAAGATGAGAGAGGCCTGTAATTTTCATCATAGGTACACGTCCACTATGACAGACAAATTGAGAAAAAGAAATCCAGAAAATCACATTGTAGGATTTTTAATGAATTTATTTGCAAATTATGGTGGAAAATAAGTATTTGGTCACCTACAAACAAGCAAGATTTGTAACTTCTTCTTTAAGAGGCTCCACTGTCCTCCACTCATTACCTGTATTAATGGCACCTGTTTGAACTTGTTATCAGTATAAAAGACACCTGTCCACAACCTCAAACAGTCACACTCCAAACTCCACTATGGCCAAGACCAAAGAGCTGTCAAAGGACACCAGAAACAAAATTGTAGACCTGCACCAGGCTGGGAAGACTGAATCTGCAATAGGTAAGCAGCTTGGTTTGAAGAAATCAACTGTGGGAGCAATTATTAGGAAATGGAAGACATACAAGACCACTGATAATCTCCCTCGTGGGGTCAAAATGATCACAAGAAAGGTGAGCAAAAATCCCAGAACCACACGGGGGGACCTAGTGAATGACCTGCAGAGAGCTGGGACCAAAGTAACAAAGCCTTACCATCAGTAACACACTACGCCGCCAGGGACTCAAATCCTGCAGTGCAAGATGTGTCCCCCTGCTTAAGCCAGTACATGTCCAGGCCCGTCTGAAGTTTGCTAGAGTGCATTTGGATGATCCAGAAGAGGATTGGGAGAATGTCATATGGTCAGATGAAACCAAAATAGAACTTTTTGGTAAAAACTCAACTCGTCGTGTTTGGAGGACAAAGAATGCTGAGTTGCATCCAAAGAACACCATACCTACTGTGAAGCATGGGGGTGGAAACATCATGCTTTGGGGCTTTTTTTCTGCAAAGGGACCAGGATGACTGATCCGTGTAAAGGAAAGAATGAATGGGGCCATGTATCGTGAGATTTTTAGTGAAAACCTCCTTCCATCAGCAAGGGCATTGAAGATGAAACGTGGCTGGGTCTTTCAGCATGACAATGATCCTAAACACACCGCCCGGGCAACGAAGGAGTGGCTTCGTAAGAAGCATTTCAAGGTCCTGGAGTGGCCTAGCCAGTCTCCAGATCTCAACCCCATAGAAAATCTTTGGAGGGAGTTGAAAGTCCGTGTTGCCCAGCGACAGCCCCAAAACATCACTGCTCTAGAGGAGATCTGCATGGAGGAATGGGCCAAAATACCAGCAACAGTGTGTGAAAACCTTGTGAAGACTTACAGAAAACGTTTGACCTGTGTCATTGCCAACAAAGGGTATATAACAAAGTATTGAGAAACTTTTGTTATTGACCAAATACTTATTTTCCACCATAATCTGCAAATAAATTCATTAAAAATCCTACAATGTGATTTTCTGGATTATTTTTTCTCATTTTGTCTGTCATAGTTGACGTGTACCTATGATGAAAATTACAGGCCTCTCTCATCTTTTTAAGTGGGAGAACTTGCACAATTGGTGGCTGACTAAATACTTTTTTCCCCCACTGTATATTCAAAATATGGAGTACAAAAATGTACCATTATACTCTTTATCCACACATGTACCTTAAAAGGTACTGAACAGTACCATGTGAGTTTTTACGTGTACCTCTGAAGGTACATTGTGTGTATTGTGATCATTTTGTACCCCAGGGAGCAATCCCGTACCCTTACTTCTAAGAGTGTAGCACACTGAAGGTTCAAGATAAAAGTAAAGCCCAGTGCCCATCTTCTGGATAAAGGAAGCAGAGGTCTGTCTGAGAAGAACAGGTATAGTTCAGCATGGGGACGCTTTCCACTACACTACCCCCTTCAATATTCCATCAGCACAACAGAGACCCAGCCGGAGAAAAACCTCTGTCAAATAATGAAAGATCCATGCGGGACGCAGCAGCACAGCAACCCTGGTCCCATTCTAAGTAATAGATCAAATGAAAGCTGTCCCTCAGAACATGAATACTGAGCGTGGTGTGGAGAGGAGGGATGGGGCAGTGATGGGAGGGGAGTGGGAGGGCATGGAGGTGTTAGTAGGGGAGGGAGAGGGGGGAGTCTGGTGCCCTGGCATGGACCCTTCCACTGGGCTTGACTTGGCTGCCAGATGAAGCGGTATGTAGACTGAGTCGTGTGGTGGTGGTAGGGCCGAGTTGGCCCGTGCAGACTGGCAGGGATGGGTTCTGTCTGTCTGGGTAAGGGGAGGTTGGGACAAGGAGGGGGAGATTCCTTGGGCCCATCGTGGCCTTTCAGAGGCTGCACAATCCTTCAGCCCTCCTCAGAATCCTCCAGCTGGCAGGTAGGCCCTGCCTCCCCCTTTCTCCCCCCTCCTACTCCGCTCTGCCCTCTAGATACAGTGGGAGGGTGGCAGCAGCCGCCACTGGCCCAGCACCATCATCGTCTCAGTGGAGGATTAGTGGGGGAGAGCTCCTCCAAACTTCGATCTGGAGAGGAAAACAGTGAAGAATGTGTTTAATTTGATCAAGGGACAGTGTTTTAACATTGATGTATACAGGAGATAGAAGGATTAAAATAAGTGTGTATTGTACTGTAAATTACAGAATTATCTTCGATTTTCTAGATTTTGGTCGTACTTTACATTTATAGACTCTTTATGACATTGTACGAACACTGTAGATAGTCCTTTTAGGGTAATATTCAGTGAACTGTCTTTTTTAGGGGAATATTCAGTTAACTTTACAATACAGACTTTATGACATTGTACTAACACTGTAGATAGTCCTTTTAGGGTAATATTCAGTGAACTGTGCTTTTTAGGGGAATATTCAGTGAACTTTACAATACAGACTCTTTATGACATTGTACGAACACTGTAGATAGTCCTTTTAGGGTAATATTCAGTGAACTGTTCTTTTTAGGGGAATAGTCAGTTAACTTTACAATACAGACTATGACATTGTACGAACACTGTAGATAGTCATTTTAGGGTAATATTCAGTGAACTGTGCTTTTTAGGGGAATATTCAGTTAACTTTACAATACAGACTTTATGACATTGTACTAACACTGTAGATAGTTCTTTTAGGGTAATATTCAGTGAACTGTGCTTTTTAGGGGAATATTCAGTGAACTTTACAATACAGACTCTTTATGACATTGTACGAACACTGTAGATAGTACTTTTAGGGTAATATTCAGTGAACTGTCCTTTTTAGGGGAATAGTCAGTTAACTTTACAATACAGACTCTTTATGACATTGTACGAACACTGTAGATAGTCCTTTTAGGGTAATATTCAGTGAACTGTTCTTTTTAGGGGAATAGTCAGTTAACTTTACAATACAGACTATGACATTGTACGAACACTGTAGATAGTCATTTTAGGGTAATATTCAGTGAACTGTGCTTTTTAGGGGAATATTCAGTTAACTTTACAATACAGACTTTATGACATTGTACTAACACTGTAGATAGTTATTTTAGGGTAATATTCAGTGAACTGTGCTTTTTAGGGGAATATTCAGTGAACTTTACAATACAGACTCTTTATGACATTGTACGAACACTGTAGATAGTACTTTTAGGGTAATATTCAGTGAACTGTCCTTTTTAGGGGAATAGTCAGTTAACTTTACAATACAGACTCTTTATGACATTGTACGAACACTGTAGATAGTCCTTTTAGGGTAATATTCAGTGAACTGTGCTTTTGAGGGGAATATTCAGTTAACTTTACAATACAGACTCTTTATGACATTGTACGAACACTGTAGATAGTCCTTTTATGGTAATATTCAGTGAACTGTCCTTTTTAGGGGAATATTCTGTTAACTTTACAGACTCTTTATGACATTGTACAAACACTGTAGATAGTCATTTTAGGGTAATATTCAGTGAACTGTGCTTTTTAGGGGAATATTCAGTGAACTTTACAATACAGACTCTTTATGACATTGTACTAACACTGTAGATAGTCCTTTTAGGGTAATATTCAGTGAACTGTGCTTTTTAGGGGAATATTCTGTTAACTTTACAATACAGACTCTTTATGACATTGTACAAACACTGTAGATAGTCCTTTTAGGGTAATATTCAGTGAACTTTACAATACAGACTCTTTATGACATTGTACGAACACTGTAGATAGTACTTTTAGGGTAATATTCAGTGAACTGTCCTTTTTAGGGGAATAGTCAGTTAACTTTACAATACAGACTCTTTATGACATTGTACGAACACTGTAGATAGTCCTTTTAGGGTAATATTCAGTGAACTGTGCTTTTGATGGGAATATTCAGTTAACTTTACAATACAGACTCTTTATGACATTGTACTAACACTGTAGATAGTCCTTTTATGGTAATATTCAGTGAACTGTCCTTTTTAGGGGAATATTCTGTTAACTTTACAGACTCTTTATGACATTGTACAAACACTGTAGATAGTCCTTTTAGGGTAATATTCAGTGAACTGTGCTTTTTAGGGGAATATTCGTGTAACTTTACAATACAGACTCTTTATGACATTGTACAAACACTGTAGATAGTCCTTTTAGGGTAATATTCAGTGAACTGTGCTTTTTAGGGGAATATTCTGTTAACTTTACAATACAGACTCTTTATGACATTGTACAAACACTGTAGATAGTCCTTTTAGGGTAATAATTCAGTGAACTGTGCTTTTTAAGGGAATATTCTGTTAACTTTACAATACAGACTCTTTATGGCATTGTACTAACACGGTAGATAGTTATTTTAGGGTAATATTCAGTGAACTGTCTTTTTTAGGGGAATATTCAGTGAACTTTACAATACAGACTCTTTATGACATTGTACTAACACTGTAGATCGTTTTCAGGGACAATTTCTGTGAACTTCTTTTCATTTCTCAACATTTGAATGTCTTTCAATTTAAAAAGCAAATTTGACATTTCTGAATACATAATTCATCACTTTACTTAAAGCTCTGTGTACATATCATTTCTCAGGTAGAGGGTTGGTGCATATGATAAATACCAATCTCATTTCCAGACATAGTCTAGTCTAGTTTTCATATTTTGAGGGGATGGATGGTGTGGGGTGATGGAATTAAACCTCTCCGGTTGGCTTCCCTGGCGGCTGTTGGAGAGGCTACATCAGGCATTGTTAAATATTTAAACACGCTGTGAGATCTCATTAAAAGCTGCACAACGGCCCACTTTAAGCCCTGCACACACAGCGTTCCCTCACACACACACATGCATAGAGACATGCACACACACACACACACCCACCCACATACACACACACACACAAACACACACACACACACACACACACACACACTCACACACACTGAAACCCAGTTATAACTCAGAGGAGTGTGACAAAACACTTATTGCCTATTGCCATCTCTGGCTCGTGATAAATCCTCATTTCCTGTCAAATAAGGCAGTTTTCAACTATTCGTCATCATATCTGCAAGATGATTGAGCTTCAGCGGAGCTCTGACAGTGGCAGACAATAAGAAAAACACAAACCCAAAACATGATAGGCCGACTAGACTAATATTTCCATAACACTGACACAAAAACAAGATGGTAGAACAAACTTTGTCTCTCTGGAGTCTTCTCCATCTTCTCTCACTCTCTTTACAAAATCTGGGCAATTAATTCTGCGTATTGTTAGGGACTCCCTATTTTTAGTACGGGCTGCCCTCTCAAATAAATTGATTTCCTGTGGTGAGCTTAGAATGTTCCTTGTGTGCTGTGGACTTTTTTTCTCCTTTCCACACATGCATACCATCCTGCCTGTCCCTGAGGGATAAATCAAAGACAACGCTGCCGACTTCTCTCCTCCGCAGCTGTGTGTGTGTGTCGATTTATACTTGGAGATGGTTTATTTTTGTTTCAGTGCCATTAATGGTTAGGCAACTTCATCAGTGTCACCCGTCTCCAGGAATCAGAGGAGCTCGCTACTTGTTTGGATAGTGTTTCTCCTTTTCATTTTCGCTGTTTCTTTTTCACTCCTCTCTCTCTCTCTCTCTCTCTCTCTCTCTCTCTCTCTCTCTCTCTCTCTCTCTCTCTCTCTCTCTCTCTCTCTCTCTCTCTCTCTCTCTCTCTCTCTCTCTCTCTCTGTGTGTCTGTGAGACAAGCCACGCTGTTTTGAGTTTCGTGCTCCCTGTCACAGAACTGATGGCGAGGTCAAAACAAACTAAGCTCTCAGATAGCGAAAATATTTAAACATCCATTGCTACACATAAATAAAAGTTGAGCAACTTGATCTCAGATTCTTGTAAAAGTGTCAGGGGAGAGACTCGTCTTTGATGATTGCTACCAAAGAGATACTACCACAGTGGTTGGGGGGCCAGACTCTGATTTCAGGAAGAGAGGAGAAGAAATTAGAATGCACAGTGTGACAAAGCTCCAGAGAATACTGCCTAATATGGATCATTGACTAGAGCTAATGTTTGCTCAACTTTACGAAGACCACACAGCAAAACTCCACTACATAATCAAACTCATACTTAACTGTTACACTATTACTCACATACTGTGGGGCAGCATGCTTACTGGCTGCCGAGGTGCTGAGCTACATGTAAATGTTTCATGAGTACAATTTCTCATTCCAAATAACCTGGGATTGTGCGTATAGATCACATTTCCATCTCGCTCTCTCACCGCCTTTGTCGCAGAATGTGGAAACTGCAAGAGAGAGAGAGAGAGAGAGAGAGAGAGAGAGAGAGAGAAGCCCCAGGGTTGTGTAGTAAAAAAGAAATCCACTGCTAGATCCTAGTTCCTTATCCTGACTAAGCCGTATGATTCCCCTTCACCCATTTAGCTGGCTCACTCTGTGGCAGTGGTGGAACAAGTATTCAATTGTCTCAATTGTAAAAGTAAAGATAACTTAATAGAAAATGACAAGTAAAAGTAAATGTCACCTAGTAATAGATGCACTATGCAGAAATCCCTCTGCCATTTCCTGGTTGCTAAACTTATAATAGTTCACCTAATTTCAGTTTATGTGACAATACAAGAAAGTATAGTGTAGAGAATGATTGTACCATCTAAACCGCTGTGAAATATATTTTCCATAAACAGAAATATTGTATTTTCAGCTGTTTGAAGCTGGTGTACAAAACTGAAAGTAAAAGACGCAAAAATTAAACTTAG